TTTAAAAAAATCCAACTGCGGATAACAACGCTAGGAAAGAACACACTCACCACGACGTTTCGGCTGAAAACACCATAGTTTTCTACAGCTGGATGAAACATACATTTTGTTGTTTTTTTTAAAAAAATTTTTGAAAAATTTGCATTGAAGATCTTCCCTATACGATATTATGGACTTAACTGACAATCCTCATCCGTCTCGTTTGGAAAGATATACAACCTAGTGCTGGGTTTTAAATATTTAAAAATTTGTTTATATATTTTATCCAACTAAAGAAGGATGTGGTGTTTCCAAGCAAAAAATCTTGGTGAATGTGTTCTTTTCTAGCCTTGTAACCAGCAGTTGCGTTTTTTAAAAAAGTTCGTATCTTGCGTGTGTATACCCTAAGAAATAATTAAAGTCTTAAGTTTAAGAACCTGAAAAATATTTCCAGTGGTGAGATTGAATTTTGGTCATATTTGAGCTTAAAAATTACATGCAAATGCACGTATTAAAGTAATTACCACGAGGTGCGTGTGATAGAGATTTCCTCTTTTCCAGCCCCAGAACGGGTTCAACACGAAAACTTACAACTTTCTCAGGATTCACAGAGAATCTATCCGAAATATCTAAAAGTTTCACAATCGAATTCGTAGGAGAATTGAGAAATAGGTAGAAGAAAAAAATTTAAAGCGTTACATGCAGCTCGTAAGATTGTTCGCTTGGAGATGATCTTGGTTTTGAAACGTAAAAGTTACCATCAGACTTCGGTTTATATTGATACAATTGATAAATTTTCAAATTTTAACCAATTGTTGCCCCTTTACTATACGCAAATGTTTTACATTTTCAGCGCATTTATGGGATCAAAATAATGACCTAAATAAGTGAATTTTAAACATTTGCGACCTCGTCGGTGTGACGCAGGTGATATTACAGGTCTGTAAAAATTCTAGATTCCCACTCGCCGTGTCAAATTTTATACTCTGCTCCAAATTTTTCCTCGCAAAAACTTAAGCGCATTAATTGGACTACATTTTGCAATTAGGAACTATAAATTCCGGTCCGGTTTAAAAACAACGTATGTTCTATTAGCTTCCTCACGCACATAAAAGTTTTTTCGGATGAGCCAGAATTCATAGCTCCAAATTGCAAAATGCAGTCCAATGGACCAATAGACAAGGTACGAATTTCAGCATTCTGATACATGTTTCTTAACCAAAATTTCACGTAGAACACGATACGCACAACGAAAATTACCAAAATCAACTCTTTACGAAGATATTTAATGATTTTTGATGCTTGAATTCAAACCACCCGCTCATGAAAACTCAATGTTCTACGTGATTCACATCGCGCGCTAAACGTTTATCATGAGAGTCTCTGCGATATAAAAATCTGGCAACCTCAATCTTGACGCTTTGGCTCAGCTACAATAAATTGCTTATAGTTTAAACAACACATGATGGGAAATGAACATTGCTCGATGGAGAAGATTGCCGAAACCGTTGTAGTGCGCGATTTGACTCACGCAGAGCTTTGAGTTTGTTGAGAGCGGGCAGTTCATATTCCTCGTAACCAATGTGAAATAAAAACGTTAATATCTTCGTTAGGCGTTGGTTTTAGTAATTTTCATTGCGCGAGTCGTGTTTTACGTGAAATTTTAGTTAAGAAACATGTATCAGAATGCTTAAATTCGTACCTTGTCTAGTGGTCCATTGAAGCTTAGATAGTCTAACTCCATGGACATCCAGTTTTGTTCTTTCCTGTAAATCCGAAAACGCATCGGATCATAAGATAAAAAAAAGTGATTATGAAGTGAAAGAATGTGACGACAATGGGTTGAAATTTCAGAGCATACCGATTTCATGAGAGGACTAAAAAACCTACCGTAACTTCCAAAAACCACAACAATACGGCTCGAGAGAAGACAGGCGGGCGGTTGATTTGAATGAAGGAAAATGGAGAGACAGTGTGACGTCAAAGGGTGCAGGTTAATAAAACGCAATTAAGTTTTCACGAGGAGTTAGTGGGGTGGAAATTGGGCTTCGGGAACAACAAAATTTAATTCAAATTAACTCGCTTTCGCAGCGATTAAAGTGATCAAGGTCTCCTTCGTAATGGAGTGCGTAGTGAATGTGCCGTGCCTTCAAACTACGCCTTCACCCATCCGTCGGTTTTCCGGGTTTACGCTAGCGTATTGCGGGAAGCGCACGTTGCCAGTCTCGGGCGATTTATAGGCATGCCGAGAATAGACATCGATGCGCGATGGTGTAAGTCGGCAATCACATAACTCGCTTTGCGACGTCGCAGACTTCCTGTCATACTTTATTTTCTAAACGGAAAACCGCTCAACGGCAATTCTTTGAATCTGCCGTGATTTTTCTTCTCTGTGCGAAGAAAATTCTGAAAAAACTTCAAGGAATGATGTCAGTTTGTTCTCCTTTAAAAAAAATAACGTAGAGGCGGAGATTTTTAGACACCGCAAACGAGTTCTGTGATTGCCAACTTCCACCGTCGACATATTCATGATCAACGTCTTTGGTTGATGATACTACTGCCGTGCAAAGGACATTCATATTGACAGGATTCAATTACTCTCAACAATACATAGAATCCAGACCGAATTATTCAGGGAAAGGCTTGAGAGGTGTGCTTTAAACTAAACTTTCGATACCTTCTATACATCAAAGCATGAAGCAGCACAGCTATCCTCTGTAAAATAATGAATATTTCTAGGCCATCTTGTGTAAATTAAGCCCTCTCTTTGCGTAGCTTGAGGAAAACAAGAGGACGTATTTCTGCCAAACGGAACTATGTGCATTATGGCGTGAGCCCTGTCATGCATAAATTCTAATGGGTCTCAGGGCTCATATTTTAATGCACATAACTCCGTTCGGTGAAAATAAGTCCAAGTATGAATAGCAGCCGGATGTCGGCTATGATTAGCTTCTCAATTAGTGCGCTTAGTGCTTCAAACGCGAAAACCACAAAGGCTCTTGAGGTTCCTTACGGTAAATTTGGGATGAGAATGCGTTTGAATAACCACGGCTAAGGGATACTGCCGTGTTGAGGAAGAACGCCGTCTGAGCTTTCAGACGTTGCCGCATTTCTGCTGAAATGATACGAAATTTCATAGAGAACTAAGAATACTTTCCCTCCGATTTTTCAGAGAATTTTGTTTGCAATTAAATCTAGATTATCTGAAAATTTCATGAGAAAAGATTTATGACTCGATCTCCTCAAAAATGAACACTTTATTGGAGGAAATTTGGCAACTTTCGAATGTTCATACCGCGTTTTTCCTTAGCATGGCCGAACAGGAGGTCCCTTAAAACAACTTGAAAATGTTTGCTCAGATAACAAATTAGCGATGCACATTTACTCGTACTTATTGCGAATACTTTCGGCGGCAAAGCATTTTTGACACCCTGTACTAAGGTAAACTGGGTCCAATAGTCGGAAAATCATCTTTAATTTCGGGCTTATTTGTCGTGTAATTTATTTTACATCCAAATCTTCCCTTCGGTCACGTTGAACGACGTCACGACGACGTAAATCAGGTACACACATCCTCTCCAAAGCACAAACTAGTTGCACGAAAAAGAAAACTTTTCTCTCGAAAACAACAACTCAATGCAGGAGAGAGACATTTTTTTTTCTCCTGGGCAACTAGTTTGTGTGTTCAGGAGAGGAATGTATCCGTTCTTGAGCAAATAGTCGGTGCAAAGGAGAGGAATGTTTTCTCTCCTGAGCAACTAGTTAGCGCTAACTAGCTAGTTTGTTAGTAAGCACTAACTGGTTGCTCAGGAGAGAAAACATTCCTCTCTTTTGCACCGATTATTTGCTCAAGAACGGATACATTCCTCTCCTAAGCCCAAACTACTTGCTCGGGACAGAAGACTTTTCTCTCGAAAACAAGTAATACCAAGATTCGAACCCGGGAACTATTGACATAAAACAACTTTAAATGCAAAACAAAATATACCGCACTCAAAATTTTCATTCTTGGCGGGAAATTTAGCCTAAACTTCCCGTCAAGACTGAAGAGGAGCCAACACCACAATTCTCTTGAAGCAAAAGAAAAATGCGACAAAAATGTAGCCAAAAACAGTTTGCAGAGGCCGAATCTATGGCACTTACGTGTAGCGTCTACAGTGCTTCAAAGATTTACGTTGGAGACTTTCACAACTTTGCTCAGGCCGATATCCCGAGTCATCATTTCCAACTATGAATTTGAAACTGTCCTCTGTTTGTCTTATCATGACGTGGATTTTAAATGATTTAGAACAATTATTGATGATACTTTACAATGTTTCACTCAACTCTGAAAGTCTTCCACGTGTTTAACACTGCCAAGAATGAACATTTTTAGTGCAGAAGGCGGTAGGTATATTTTATTCTGCATTTACATATGATTCATATTTTAAATTATGTTGAAGAGTTTTCCGAGAATGCCCTATAATAAGACCATAAAATACAACTCTATTGGTAACAATATTCATTAAAGAGCTAAAAAGTTTTTCAGCGTGTATTATATGGTTATTTTCAATTCGCCTTCAGCTGTGTCCGCAGCAATTGTTGTTCCGAATGTGTTGTGCGTGCTGATCTCGGCTCATTACATACTTGACTCTCTGAAGGCGTTTAATGTGCGAAAGTAGAGCATCCTGTTGGAGAAGAGCAGAAGTGAGATTGAATGAATTGCCCAATCCCTATACTTCATTCGTTATCCGACGGATTGCGCTACTTGCGCACATAAAACGCCTTCAGAGATTCGAATATGTAATGAGTTGAAATCAGTCCGCACAACATATTCGTAACAACAATTGCTGCAGACGCAGCAGAAGGCGAATTGTGCAGTTAAAAAAAGAAGGGTATGATAGGTGGTCTGCATGTAACGAGAGGGTATGTATTCGTTCGACATGAATCGAAAAGAAAATAAAAAAGTGAACCGATCAACACAGATTCAATGGACAAATAAATAAAAAAGCTGATCAAAATCAGTAGAAAACGTGTATTCACTATGAAAATTTCATATTCCGATACCTCGAAATTAGGATCAGCCAAGATTTTGATTTTTCCCGATTATAAGAGCACACGCACCACAGACTCATCCCCTGCAAACCGTTTTTGGACACATTTTTGTCGCATCTTTTTTTGCTTCAAGACCACATTGTAAAAAATATAAAAAAGGTGTGGGATTTTTGGATGATCCTGTATAACGTGGTGTGCGTAGTCTGGCTGATTTTTTAGGGCTCACGATGCTCATTAGATTCACCGGTTAATGATTGCGGTTTCAAGTGGACCTGGTCTCGGATGTATTTGGGCCATCGGTTGTACATAGGTTCGTCTGACTGGGGAGTTTCCGGAAGGACAAGATGTATCTCTTTCTTGTTTCCATTTTTTAAAGTGAAAGATCCTGATGCAAAAATGGTGGCGAAATTCTCGGATCTCAACGGTTCCCACAAGGGACACAACTTGGAGAGCGGCAGGAAACCTCTTCGTCCCGAGAGATACTGGACGTAATGGTTCCCGTTGCAGTACAACAGGTTGTAAGGCATTTTCGCCTTGGACATCACCATCAGTGTTCCCACCAGCACACCCACCTAAAAAGAAGGACTGCGATGAATGAATTTAAAACTACATACTACGGGAGATGAAACCGTGTTCCTTGCGTTTTGATCTATAGTTATCGCTATTTACTGGCTACATGGATATTCCGTCTATTCCAGGCTCAAGAGACCGTACTGTCCTACTAAGGAAGAACGTCATGTGAGCCTTAAGGAGTTGCCAAATTGCATTTGATAAAACACGAATTTCTTGGTAAAATTATGAATATTTTTCTTCCAATTTTCTAGATAATATTCCTCGCAATTTCATCAAAAAGTCTTAAAAATTTCAAGGGAAAATATTCATAACTTTCCTAAGAAAAAAATATTTTATCGAAGGGAATTTGGCAACTCTGGAATGTTTATACGGCATTCTTCTTTAGCGTGGCAGCGTGCCGCCAGCGGTACATTCCGGGTGTAGCATCCGTTGCTCCGGCCACTGGAACCGAAACAGTCGAACCTATGTACGGCTCTAGCACTCGAAATTTTTGGCGTCTGAGCTCGGAACGAAATGGTGTGTCTACTTAGTCCGTGTTACTTTTTCGGTGCAAAAAAGACGATTTTCTAGATAATTTCGGATACAGGAAGTTCCAGCTAAATGCACTCTTGGTGAAAACTTTATCGAAGATAATAGTCTTATTTCGATCCATAGAACGCGTTCCTGCTGTATACCTGTTTGATGCCCTGGTAAAAATAAGTCGTTTTTGGAGCACAAAAATTGTCCTTCGAGGATGGAGGCGGATTCAGGAATTTGGCAACACTGGATATCCTCTATTTAAATTTATGCTAAATAATCGATTCTTGTCGGAACACTTGGCCCCTCCAAGAATCGATACATTTCTTTAGGTTTAAATGGAGAAAAGACAATGTTACCGATTTGCTGGATGAGCTAATATCCGAGGATAAAAATAGGTCACTGAACCTCTACTTTTTATTTGATACTCTCTCAGTACCAGAGGAGTAGATTACGTGGTGCTTTATTGCGAATTTTTGAGCCAAAATCTAGGCCGAATCTTCTTTTAAAAAGTCCAAAGACACAGCAGAATTTCAAACGCGACGGAATGGTGGAAAAATGATGGAAGTGATGTACTAGGTCAATCAAATCGCTGCCTTCTCTCTTTTAACATTGATGTTTGTTGGAATAAAACGTATTTCAATGTGGAATTGTTGTTTGTTACCTCCAGATATCATGAATGAAATTCGATTCTTCGATTCTGAAGAGATAATGTAGATTCGACTTGTCTACCGTTTTCATATACGAAGAGTTAGCAGGCACTCGACGGAAGTTGTAGAAACCCGGGCACGCTTCTGACTGGTGCCGGATGACATCATTCGGTTTGGAACGAAACTGGGGCGATTTAAATTTGCGGAAAAGTAGCGCATTTTGAACTGCGTATTTCTCGAATTCTGAGCTACTTTTTCGCGTTTTCAATGTGCGCATCCTGTTTCACGCGTCATTTACGATCGGAAAATGAATTCGCGCGTCAAAATTCGTTCATGGCTCAGTGACCCATTGAATGCACGATTTATTTTTACCTGAATACTACATATTGAATCCCCTTGAGAATGAACTTACCTGCCAAATTTGCCCCCCTCTCTTCCTAAAGTTGACCAACTCGACATCCTTGAGGGTTGTGCGGACCTCAACCATCCTTGCCGTGGTCTCCTTGGCACCTTTACCGGGGTAGAAAGCGATAACATCCTCATCAGTGACTGCAAACATCATCTGAAAAGCGTTCTTCTGGTAAGCACGCGGATCTTCGGGAGTGCTTTGGGCTTTTGTTATCGACATCACCGTATCTCCCGGCGATATGATCAGATTACTCCCAGTTCCTGTTCGACCGAAAAACGGGATTTTCCGGTTGGAGAGCAAGGATTTCCAGCTCCATTTCGGGTACCAGCTAGGTCTGCCTTTGAAAAATCCTGACAGGGATGACAAATGCTGAAATAACTATCGTACAACTTTCAAGTATTACACTAAAAGAACCACACGACAAAAAATTGTTAAAATATATGTCCGACCTATTTCAAATGTACATTTTATAATAGTGGAAAGCTAATTTAGTCACAAAGGTGTTTTACTTGGCATTTTATTACTGTAAAATCTACATTAAAACATTTCGGACACTTTTTTTGACTACAAAATTGTAAAATTAGCAATTCAATTTTTTTTCTAGCAGGTGCAAACTTCAGCTACAGTGAAAACAAAAGTTTTTTTTTTCCACTTGGTTCTATACCATTTCCTAAACGAATTTTATAGCTTATAAGCACGAGATTGAACTAAATCTAGAATGTTACTGAGTCTTTTGAAAACTCGCACTGTTAAAAAGGTTTACAAATTTTACCAGCAGTATTCTAAGGAGTTACATCAGTTGTCAACTTGATTTTTGACTTAGTGAGAACCGAAAGTGCACCAGGTGAGAACAACCGGGTTCGGGTGAAAGAGCACCTTCAGTAAGTATATAGACAACATATACGGCACTGCGATGACGCCTGCGTGGGACGCGTATTGGTGCCTACAAGACTGCAGGAATAGCTCACGCATTGCACGTACGCACCCTACAGTACGCGCAATGCGTGAGGTATCCTTGCAGTGTGCGCGCAATGCATGAAGTATCCTTACAGTCTCGTAGGCGCTAATACGCGTCTCGTGCAGGCCGCACTGCCGCACTGTGCGAATTGTGCGATGCAGTGTAGTAATAATTTTTGTAATTTTTGCTATCGAAATTGATCCCAACCGTGTGCCTCTTGGAACGCATGCCAGCCTAAATGATTATGAACAGAGGAGGTATTTGTATTTGTCGTCACAGTAAAGTCACCTGCTCGACACACAAATATACATACCCTCTCTCTCACACAGCTTCATGTACTTTTCGTTACACAGTGACACTGCTGAGTAAACAGACATCTGGTATTTTTTAGCATAATTTTTATGAATGCGGAGAGAGTTACGGTCTTTGCTGTCATACAGTACAGTCTCATTGTGATTATCATTCTGCTACCACTATCGCTTAAACCAAACTTTTTTTGTGTGTGTGATTACTATTCGGTCGAAATTGTAAGATCTGAATTTTCAACTTAAGGGTCATTCCACGCCTAGGTAGTCCGGGGGGTATTTTTTTTCCCCCTCCAAATGACCCAACAATATTTATTTTTGGACTCCTTAATACTCCTAGTTTTTGGAAATATATGGGGTTTACATCCGTTTTGTTTTTTTTTTCTCGCAATTTTCACGTGTTTTGTAACCCCATTGGTTAGCTTCATCCTACTGTAAAAAGAGTGACAGTTTGGTAGCAATATTTTCTGGTGTTCCCGCCAAAACCAAGTTTCAGTTTATGTTTGCAGTTGTCAAGAAACTGATTCAATGTGCTCCTGCAAAGTTTCAATTTTTAAAAGTAATTACTGTGTATTATATGTAACTTTTAAAACTTAGTGTACTGACTGTCACACCCGTTACGCAAAACATGGGTTTTTTGATGTAACTATTTTAATTCATGTTATTTTGAGATGCTAATTTTTTCCGTACGTCTTCAAGTCAATTACAGCTTTGGAGTATTTTTTCTAAATTTTTATTTCAACAATTGATAGACAAAACTGCGTAACGGGTGTGACACGTTACGGGTGTGACCAATGAGAAGAGGCTTCAATTATGCAGATGTTGCCTCACTTCTCACCATTTTTTCTATAGTTATCACAAGAAATACACTCATATGCACAATTAGAGGTATGTATACATCTAATAAGAGAGAGATAGCCAACTTTTTTGCCATATTTCAGTATTTAAAGTGAATACACCTATCTCAAAAGGACTTCAAATAGAACTCGTTGAACTCTCTCCGATTGGATTGAAATATTTTCACTTTACTTTAGGCCTAGACCTACCGTACCAGGATTTTTTTTTGGTTAATTTGGATCATGCTAGGTCCAGACCGCGGGGACGAGAGGGGAATCCTGGGCTACCCGAAGAAAAGCCCAGGGACGGTAGGTCTGGGCCACCCTGTAGAAAAATGTAGTTTTGACATGTTCTACATTAAAATGCATCAAATTGCTGATTGATTTACTGCTTAGGATTGCTTACAATAAGAGTATGAAAAGAAAAGTAAGTTTTTTAACTTTTAATTTCTCTCAGAAATGATGGACCTCAGAGAGACAATCTGTCACACCCGTTACGTCACACCCGTAACGCAAACGGTAGGTCTGGGTCACCTTGTAGAAAAATGTAGTTTTGGCATGTTCTACATTAAAATGCGTCAAATTGCTGATTGATTTACTGCTTAGGATTGCCTGCAATAAGAGTATGAGAAGAAAAGTAAGTTTTTTAACTTTTAAACTCTCTCAGAAATGATGGACCTCAGAGAGACAATCTGTCACACCCGTTACGCAAACTCTCCCATTTTTCAAGGAAAGAAAAAAAGATAATCGAAAACGGATCATCGGCAGATGAAGCAAAAACCCTTGGCTTCATCATATAATTTAATCAGATTTTTAAATTCATAAAATTCGCTGAGTTTCCACTTTACACTCACTGAGGAAAAACTCACTTCCAAAATCGGTCACACCCGTTACGCAGCCTTTTAATTTTTTCCTGAGGAATGGAACAAAGTAAAAACAATTTCTGATAAACTAAAATGATCTATAAAAAAAGTTCTTTCTGCTACTGCAGATAATTTTTTAATTAAACCCCAAGAAAGAGTTCAAATTCTTGTTTAAAGTTAAATTGTTGTCACACCCGTTACAATGGAATGACCCTTAAATAAAAGAAAATAGTCGTGTATTTGAAAAGTCGTTACTGTAAACTGTGGTCGATTTTCGTAGATATATGGATGAAATCCTCGGACTGAAAAAAAACCCTCCTCAGTTCATTAAGTTTTCGTAAAATCGAAAAATAAAATGGAAAGTGGAATGAGACTTTTGGAATAGACCGTCTGTTTGATCCTAACGCCTTGATACAACTATTACTGCTCTTAGGATGTTCATGTTGTATACCCAAAATAAATAGGGCGCTCTGCGTGGCACCGCACACCAGCAGACGATCAACATTGCGCGGCATGTGCAAATAAAACCTGCCCGTCCGTGGAGTAGCGTGGCTTCTTTAAAAATTTTAAAATAAAAATGGAAATTTAGAAGTTAAGTAAATTCATTCCATTTTTTTTAAGAATTCAAAGGTGAGCGTGCAATTTGAAAGACCCCGGTGAAATATTGTGAACATATTGTATTAATTCATAACACAAGAACTTTGCAGATGCACAAGAGGGAATTGAAATTACCCTGTATTTTATGTTTAGAGAACAATTATTAGCGTCGTATTGTTATATTAAAGAATGTTCGACTCCTTTCATCATGAAAAAAAAATCCTGACAATTAGAAATGTTGCTAATTTACGTAAGGTTTCAAAGCAAAATCACACATCTTGATGGAAATAATTCAAAATATTTCCTCTTTTTTATTCGTTCTTACGGCATGTGAAATTGATAATAATTTGTCGCTTCTCTGACGTAAGGGCGTAACTCTATTTCAAGATAAGCCATATTATTAATTTAACTCTCTACTTTCCGGGGGTCACGTAGAAATTTAGATACGTTCTAACGTCAGAGAGGCGTTGAATAATGCGAGGCATTTTCAGGACACATTCTTGGAAGGGTGCACACTGCACAGCAATCACAGGGGAGCTTATGCAGTAAAAATCATCAGTCATCAGTCAAAAAGTAAAATGCAGCAGAAAACACGTGACGCAAAAAAAAACTGAGATTTAAGATTCTGTGGTTTCCGGTAGCAATGCCATTGAATATAGTTACTTTTTTTCAGCAGCATGCGGGCACGACTCGGGACTCCGTGAGAAAAAAAAGAGCCTAACTGTCATGCATGGTGCATCAAGCTTATTTGAAGGAGCGATGAGTGTCACTGAGCTTCTGGCAAAAAGGTTCTTGTCTACAGAACCAGGATCCTCAGAAAATCACAGGGTTCGCGGCTCTGCGCACATTAACTTGAGGGATCATTGTTTTTTCTACAAAAATTTTCTCTAAAAAATATCCCGAGTTTCATCTGTCTTGTATTCGTTGAGTTTTATTACGTTAGTTTCATTCTTAAGGCGCACACTTTGTCACTGACGTTAGGGCATAGTTTAGTTTCTATGTGAGCCGTGTCCGTCGTATAACCACATGCCCTATGGGGTTCATGAGGAAACAGAGATACACGCTAACGTCAGAAAAATGACGACTGATGAAAAAATCATGCACGATTTGTATAGCAAAAGTTATGTTTACATTCAAATGTTTCAGGCACTGGTATTCACTTATATTCATGTCAGTATTTAAAACAAAATTTCCCTCAATGACCAAATGAACACTTCAGAAACCTTATAGGACAGATGAAACGGAGTAAGTAACACAAACATGAGAACAATTTTTCGATGAAATAATTGTAGTGAGCGCACTTATTATTCACGCAGTTTTATTAGATTACCTCTCAATGATGTTGAGTTTTGAGGCGCAAAAACGGCACAAATGACACCAAGAAGGACAATGTACGTGAACTGGAACTTCATGTTGCGCAGTTGCTAACACCACACAACAAACTTTTGGTGTCCCTTCCTCGTCCATTTATACCAATCATCGTCTCGTTCATTCGCGTGGTTACTCTCATCAATCTGACAAGTAACGCAGAGTGCTTTTCCAGTTTTTACACACATGCGCAATGAGAGTCTACCAAAAAAAGTACGCTACCACAAAAACGGAAAAAATCCAAAAATCAAGCCGGCAAAAAATAGGATAGAAGAGCTGGGTTGGTGAGCGGGTGGTCGCTGCAATTTTGGTGAGGTGAAGAGAGAAAAAGGCTGTGTCGTCATGGTAATAGTTCACAATTATTGATATCATTGTGTTGGACACGTTCTCCTTCTCATCCTGCCGTGCTAAGGAAGAAT